GGGTGGAGTGCAGTGGGGCAATCTCGGCTCACTGCAAGCTCCGCCTCCTGGGTTCATGCCATTCTCCTGCCTCAGCCTCCTGAGTAACTGGGACTACAGGCACCTGCCAACATGCCCGGCTGATTTTTTTGTATTTTTAGTAGAGATGGGGTTTCACTGTGTTAGTCAGGATGATCTTAATCTCCTGACCTTGTGATCCACCCGCCTCGGCCTCCCAAAGTGCTGGGATTACAGGTGTGAGCCACCGTGCCCAGCCTTCTCTCCTATTTTTTTAAAGAGATGGGGGGGGGTGTCTTGCTATGTTGCCCAGGTTGGAGTGCAATGGGCTAGTCATAAGCATGATCATAGTATACTACAGCCTCAAATTCCAGGCTCAAGTGATCCTCCAGCCTCAGCCTCCCTAGTAGCTGGGGCTACAGGCATGTGCAACCATGCCTGATTACTTTTTTCTCTTGATGGTATGTTATGGACATTTTCCCATGCTAGTACATGGATCCACCTTTTTAAAGATTGAGCCTATGGAATTCTAAATTATGGGTGTATCATAATTTATTAAATGTTTCTTCTCATTGTGTTAGGAATTAGTTCTGGCACCAGTAACAAAGACTAAAAAATGTGGCACAAAATTAAAAGTTTTATCTTTTTCATATAACAAGACTTGTATAGTCCTGGGCATATGTGATAATTCCGTGATGTTTTCAGGGATAGACTGATTTCGCTATTCTAATACTGAGTGTGGCTCCCATCCTCAAGGTCCCAAAGTGACTGTTGGAGCTCCAGCAATCAAATCTTCATTCCAGTCAGGAAGAAGTGAAAGGTAAGGAACAAATTGGTGTGCCAGTAAAGTCAGTTCCCTTTTAAAACCCTTTTGTACAAGTCCTACCTAACAATTCCTGCTTATATCTCATTGGTCATATCTTAACACATAGCCATCCCTTTCTGTCAGGAATTAAGGAAAATTTAATACTTTAGTCAGATATATTGATACCAACAACAATCAGGTTCTTTTAGTAAGGAGGAAGGGGAGAATGCAGATTGACTGGGTATCTAGCAATCTTACCACATGTATCGGTACATATTTTGCTTGTTTACAATTTTCACTATAACAAATAGTGCTGCAATGAATATACATGAATGTGTTTCTTTTCATTATATTCACTTCATATTTTTCTGTAATCCTTGATTTTTATTTTGATTGATTTATTATCTTCCATATGTTACATCTTTTCATTATTTGTAACTTCATCCATTTTTCATCTGGTCTTGGCTCAAAGGAGGAAGCATCCTGCTCTCTTCCCAGTGTTCTCTCTTTTTCCCTCTTTGAGCTTGGTGGTGAAAACAGAATAATAGGTTAAGATGTTGATGTTTGGAGGTAAAAGAAACATAAATTGAGGGTGTCTCCAACCTGATCATCTTTATGAAAAGGCAAGGTACCAGGAGCAGACAGCACAGACTGGGGCTAACTTCTCACTCCATGACTTTCTAAGGGTTGCGACCTTCAAGGAATTACTTAATGTCTTTGTGCCTTAGTTTTTCCATCTGTAAAACGTTGTCAGTGTTTGCATTTACCTCATAGGGTTGGGGTGAGAATGGAATGTAAAGCACTTGGAAATAGTAGCTGGCATATACTAAGTGCTATGTGAGTTAACAGTTGTCAGTTCTCGCCTCAGTGAAGTAAAAAATAGTTTCTGTGCAGTGTAATGGCAATGGAGGCACAATGAGAGGGCAGGTGGTGGTCAGAGTCCACATGGTCTTTGTGAGAGATTTGAGGTGGTCAGGGAGGTATGAATCAAGGGATTGTTGTGTAATGTTGAGAGGACAGTAGAAGTCAGACATCACATCGACTGCTTAGAAATAGGAGTAAAGACACTGAATAAATAGGATTGAAATTAACTGGGTAGGGTTGGCAGAAGGCCAAGTGGATAGAGCACTAGAAGGTGCTGATATGAGTTAGCTGAAATAATTTACCACAATATTCTGAGTGGGAAAAGAGAAACAGAAGAGTACTTCAGAAAGCCATTTCTCTTGAATTAAGGGGTCAGAGTGAATTGTGGATAGAAAAAAGGAGGTGGACTGAGAATAGATTTTCAGAATTCAGCCTTTTAAAGGTATCATTCTGGGTGATAGTATACTTTCAGGTGTGGCTCATGTTACTGGATTACTGCAGTGAAAAAATGCCAGAGATGAAGATCAGGGAAACAGAGAGAATCAAATATTTCATTCAGTTTAATTAACTAGGCAATCGAGGATCACCTAGTATGTGCTAAATGGGTTTTGTGTTGTGGTGAACAAGATATAGGTATTTCCTAACCATTAAGTTAAAAAACATATATATATATGTTATTTAAAAACAAACACATATATAAAACAATATATGTTTTTTAATTAAGAGGAATCAAAGTCATTTGTGTATACCTAGATACTTACCATTTCTTATGTTACTCATTTCTTCCTGAAGATCTGTGTTTCCCTTTACTATTATTTTACTTCAGCCTGAGGAATTTCCTTTAGTACTTCTTATAGTGTAAGTCTGCTTGTGACAAATTCTCCTAATTTTCCTTTTTTTAAAAATGCCTTTTGAGATTGGTTTTTGGAAGGATATTTTTGCTGAACATAGAATTCTAGAACATAGTTCATAGAACATAGAACTAAATTAATTTAGTTCTCTCTGCGTTTAAAAACGTCCCAGTGTTTTCTGGACTTCAATTTTTTTTTTTTTTTTTTCCTGCAGGAAGTCAGAAGTCATTTGTATCATTGTTAACTTATATGTAATGTACATATATTTCTCCCATGGTAGTTTAAAAATATATTTGGAAATGTTTGATACTCCCTACTTCAAAAGGTAGAGCTGAGGTTCCTCCCCTTGAATATGGCTCCAACTTAGAGACCTGATACTCATGAGCAGAGTGGTAATAACTGACTTCCAAAGCTGGGTCATAAAAATGTGGTTCAGAGCACAAGAGCTTCTCTCGAGCTCTCTGTATTTCTCTCTTCTTGTTTTGAGGGAGGTCCAGCCACTATATCATGAAGACGCTTACACAATAGTAGGGAAGAGTCCACAGGGAGAGGAACTGGGGCCTCCCACCAAGTGCCGGCTTCAACTGCCAGGCATTTGAGTGATTCATCTAAGTGATCCACCTTGCAAGCAGATCCTCCAGCTCCAATCACATCCAGCTTCAGAGCATGGAGACCTTGCCTGACATTTGGTTACAACAGCATAAAAGCTGAGGACTGTAACCTAAGCTGTTCCCAAATTCTTTGCCACAGAAACTATCAGAGATAATAAATGTTTTTTTGAAACCATTGAATTTTGAAGTAATTTGTTATGCAGCAATAATTAATACATTTTCTAATTCAAATGTCTGTGTATATTATATTCACCTCAGTGCTCCAATTCTTCAATTTGCTTTGCCTTTGTAAGAAAAAGAAAAAAAAAATGTAAAATTCAAGGTGTACCACAACTGAAAAATCAACCTATAGAAGAAAATTATTAATTTGTGGTAAACCAGTTTATTTTAAGAAAACATTTTGTCTCTTTGGTTTGCCATTGTAGCTTGAGCACCTTGTGTAATACTTGGTACATAATAAAACATTAAATAAATATTGTTAAATGAATGAATCAATAAATTTGCTTCCCCAGGTTTGAAGCTTCTGGGGGACAAAAACTATGCCTTATTCATCTTTGTATCTCCCTCATATGGCACAATTCTTAACACTGAACATGCACCATTCACTGTTGAGTTAAATTGAACTTAACTGAAATTCTTGTTGAAGTAAATGATCTGGAAATGGAAGTGAATAAATCATAGCAAAAAATTCATTTTAAAAGTTTATATTGTACATTGACTACTGGTGGTTTTCAAGCCCCATCAACCTATCACCAACTAACCAACAAAAAACCCTAAATTCATACTCTGTTGGTGCGTGGCAGACCACATGGATTTTTATAATTTCTAACAAGACAACACATCTTCAGATATTTCTAGGGAATCTTTATGAAGCAATATACAATAGTAGGAATTTTACTGTGCTTGGGTTATAAACTATTGCAAGCTGTTGAATTTAGTACATTGTCTGCACAGGCTGAGTAACCTGTATTCCTCCTTATCCAGTTGAGCCTAAGCCATTTCAATAGAGCCGAAGTTTATGAGCATAGTGAATTTGAACACTTAATCTCACTCACTCACTCATGCAACATATAAACTGAGCAATTCTCTTCCTCTTTGGGAGATAAAGCTTATCCAGGGCGTATCCCAGTGGTTTGGAGCACAAGCCAGACTTCCTAGGTGCAAATTTCCAGTGGATCCCTTACCAGCTTTGAGATATTTGGTGTATGTCTTAACTTCTTGCCTTAGTTTCCTCAACTGTAAAATGCAGAAACTAATAGTGCTTACCTCACAAGGTAGGTGTGGAGATTAAACACATAAAAATTGCCTGGCACATACTAAGCACGAATAAAAATCAGTTGTTAATGCCTTCGATGCCTACCATGGACCCTGGAACATTGCAAGTGACTTGTAACTTTTGAATGAATAAATGAATGAATGAATAATGAATAAGGTGAGAGTTGTGTCTAAATTATGTTTTTTTTTTTTGTAATTGCATTCTATGATCATACAAAAGTTTTGATTGTTCACTCCTTTTTAGAAATTCCTTATTAGATCAAAAAGAGGCAGAAAATGTTCTTTGATAAAGGACATACAAGTAATATTGTCACATGATTACCTGGAGTTGGTACATTAGTCTGTTCTCCCACTGCTATAAAGAAATACCAGAGACTGGGTAATTTGGAAAGAAAAGAGGTTTAATTGGCTCATGGTTCTGCATGCTATACAGAAAGCATGGCAGCGTCTGCTTCTGGAGAGGCCTCAGGGAGCTTTTACTCATAGTGGAAGGCAAAGCGAGAGCAGGTGTCTTACATGGCAGGAGCAGTGAGAGAGAGAGGAGAGGTGCCGCATACTTTAAACAACCAGATCTCTTAAGAACTCATTCACTATAAAGTACCAGGTGGGCACGGGGCTAAACCATTCATGAGAACTCTACCTCCATGATCTAATCACTTCCTACCAGGCCTCACCTCCAACACTGGGGATTACAATTCCACTGGAATTTGGTGATGACGCAGATCCAAACCTTATCAGCTGGGAATTAAACACACACACTTTGGGCTAAGGGGAATTCTGATTTTTCATTTTAATCCCTTCGTAAACGTGGACAAGGCAGACAGGAGTCAAACGCAAAAAGGAGCATGGAGACCCAGACTTCCAGGTATGCCTTACTGAACTTGTAGAAAGTTCATTCTAACTGGCAAACAGGGCCAAGCTTCTCCCCCTTGACTGCGGTCAATTCCTAGGGAAAGGTGAGGGGTCTAATTAAGCCTTTGCATCCCCCAAACTTGGCAAAGTGCCTGGCAGAGAGTAGTAAGAAAAAAAATTGTTTTTAAGGAATGAAGTATTAGGAGATCAAGGCAACTAAGAAGGCTTTGGGTTGAAATATTCTACCTTTGGTCACAAATCTTCCACCTGTACCTCCACTTCCACTTACGTAGACTGACTGCTCAGTTCCCAAGCCTTCTCCTTAGAAAGACTTCCTTTCAATGCAAGCAGCAGAAAAAAGCGACCCAGCTGAAACTTCTGGAGTTATGGGAACGCCTCCTTCCTCTGTCGCTAATGGAGGACTAAGATGGGACTGGGAGTAAAGGAGCGTCTCTGAATGGCGGGGCAGTTGCAGCGTCCCACTTGGCAAGAGTTCTTGAATTACCTCCGCCCCCGCCCTGACCAGCCTTAAACATCAAACTGGGAAACTTATCTTTCGGCAGCAGCGCTGAAGGAGTGACCAGGCGTCTCCGTGATGGGCCCCGGGGACTTCCGCCGCTTCAGACAGAGAATTTCCCAGGGTCTCCAGGGACTCCCAGGTAGAGCGGAGCTTTGGTTCCCACCTCGTCCCGCGTGCGGCTTCCCCGGGGACGGCAGGAGCACGGACGTCCAGGAGGAGGCCCTCGCCGCCAGCCCGCTGCTGGAGGACCTCAGACGACGGCTGACTCGCGCCTTCCAGTGGGCGGTGCAGCGCGGGACCTCGAGGCGCGAGCGGGAGGCGGCGGCAGCGGCGGCGGCGCGGGAGGAGCAGAGTTGGGCGCGCCTCGAGGCCACCCTGGCCGGGCTGCGGGCGGAGCTGGTGAGAGCGCGGGCTGGGCGGACGGCTCCCAGGACTCCCTCTCCCGGGACCTCTCCTCGGGCTCCAGAGCAGCTGGCCGCGTAGCCCACCCGAGACCTTGGGGAGAGCGACGGGAGCTGTTCCCAGAGAGGGCGCCCTGGCCCCTGCGGCTATTCTTCCTGGGGAGGCCAGCTCAGGTCTGGACACGGCGTTGACGCCCCGCCTCTCCAGCATCGTTGGGAAGGAAAGGGGCCCTACAGGACCCGAGGTGGTGGTGGTGGTGTTGGGGAGGGGGTTGCCTGGTCTACCAGTGACATACCCAGGATGTCTCCTCCCCAACCCGTTTCTATAGTTTTCTGCCCTGTAGGGAACTGTGACTATGTGTAAGTATGGCTCATGGAGGAGGAAACTTCCATGAAATAAACTCTCTTGGGACTGATGGAGAGTGTCCATCAGTAAACTCTTTCTTTATACCCCGCAAGTTTTATTCTTATCTTTCCCGTGGGTAATAATTCAGAAAACTGGAAATAAGGCATTTTGTAAAATTGCCCAGTTTTGAACATTACACAGGTTATGTCCGAATATTAAACAGGAGGGTGTACAGGTAAGTATTTTAGCTGACTGATTTTTTTTTTAATTAAAAAAACTGGAAATTAGTCACGATTTGAAAAGGACACAATGAATAGGAGCAATTCAAACTTTAAAATGGTGCTGCCTAGGAAAGTGTGCAGTGGAGACTTGGAAAATTCTTCCCTTTTGCACTGATTACTAAAACACTAATACAATTAACCACTACTTTAGAACTGATCCAACCATCAGTAAATTGTCTTAAGAATGTTATCGCATTTCTGAGTTTAAGAAGAACAGTATTAGGCCGGTGCTGTGGCTCACGCCTGTAATCCTAGCTCTTTGGGAGGCCAAGGCAAGGGAACACCTGAGGCCAAAAGTTCGAGACCAGCCTGGCCAACATGGTGAAGCCCCGTCTCTACTAAAAATATAAAAATTAGCTGGGCATGGGGGCTGGCGCCTATAATCCCAGCTACTCAGGAGGCTGAGGCAGGAGAATCACTTGAACCCGGGACGGAGAGGCTGCAGTGGGCCGAGATTGTGCCATTGTATGCCAGCCTGGGTGACATGAGCGAGACGTCTCAAAAAAAAAAAAAAAAAAAAGACAATATCCGAAATTCCTTGTCAGATTCACATTGTTAACATGGGTTAAATTAGATTTACTACCAGATTTACTATCTGATCCAACAATGTCGAAGAAACACCTGGTTTTCACCCCGAGCCTAAGCGGTGAGTCTGAGCAGCAGGGCAGCCGGAGCCACCTCATTCGGCCCCTGGAGGCCTGTGCTATGGGCCAGAATGCTAAACTGGAAGGCTGAAACCTGGCGCAGCCATCTCTGCATTGGAGTCTTGGGATCTGCCGGTACCCCTTCCTGAGCCTCAGGGGACTCACATTTAAATCAGATGAGGAGATTACACTGAATAAGCTCTGAGACAGCTTTCAACCTTAACATTCTAGTAAGTTGTTAGGAGCTTTAGACAAGTAGTATGTTGGGGGTGGCAATAAAATCTGGTGAGATTGGGGCATTCGGGGTGGTATGACTGTAGACCGCTGGTGGCAATAAAATCTAAACAGATGAGGGCTCAAATACCAACATTACCATTTACAGGTTCTGCAAACACTTGCTGGCCCTACAACTTTGGGATTGGTACTTAGCCATTTTGAGTTTGTTTACCCATCTGTAAAATGGAATTTATAATCTCATAGGATTCCAGAGCTTATGTGAGATAATATTCTATGAAATGCTTAGACCATGGGTATTGTTTAGTGGCTATTATTGTAATGATTACTATAGACCTTGGACTCTGTACCAAAAAAGAACAGATACATTCCTATCAAAAAATCAGGACTTTTTCCAGGAGGGAACCAGCGAAGTTTACACATACACAAATAATGTGTCCTTGGGTTACAGACGATGGTCAACATCTTGGTCAATCATTTTATCCTGGTCATAAGGAAGAGGCACACGAGTGTGGATACTGTACTTAATATCATCACCACTAGAAGACTTAGTTTTCAATTTTTGGCTATTAACTGGATTTTTACAGGAACTGACATACATTGCTATACAAATGTACATGTATCATGTATTAGGATAGTATTTGTAAGGAACAATGATGAGCAAATTTAATTTAGAGTTGTGTTGCTATTTATACTATTTTTTGTTGTTTGGGTTTTCTTAGTGAGAATCATTGATTTCTAGGGTCTGTGAGTGGATTTCAGGGGTTCTATATACCTAAAATTGTATACAAAATTTTTGATGTGCATATAGTTTTTCATCAGAGAGGGTTCATAACTTTCATCAGATTCTCAAAGAGATCCACGATGAAAGAAAAGTTAAAGAACCATTGATGTTTGAATTTCATAAGTGTGAATTATACATACTTAATTTAGATGGTAAATCATTACCAGTAATTTTTCTTCTTGATTCTTGCATGAAAGTACAGGATGGATATTCATCAGTTAATTAATTCACTCACTTTTATAACAAACACAAAGAGAACCTACTAGGTTGTGTGCCCAGACAGTGCACTCTTAGTTGGGGATACAATTATGAATAAGATAGTCTCTACCCTCAAAATCATCAGTCTGGTCTGGTCAGCGTGTTCTGAGAGACACTTGTACAGAGTGCTGTGGATGCACAGATAAGAGGCAATTACATCTGCCCATGCAATCAGGGAAGGCTTCTCAGAAGAGCTGGCGTTTGACTGGGTTCAGCAGAGAGAGGTGGCAAAGGGCATCTTAAACAGAAATGGGGACAGAAAGAGGTGTGCTTCAGCTCAGCGTCTGTTTAGGTACTGGCAAGGTTTCTGACCAGTTGCAGTGGGAGCTGGCATTGGAAAGAGGGCTAGGAAAGGAAGCTCAAAAGTAGAGCAGGATTATAGAGCATCTGGGCTACCCTAGAGAGCTGAGGCTTCCTGCAGGCAAGGTGCAAGGGTTTTTTGGTGGTGATTGTATGGTTACTGTTACTGCTTGTTTGCTGGATATTCACTTACTTTATTCTTTGCTAATTCTTGCTGTCAGAAAAATGATTCTAGGTGCTGCAGAATGGAGAAGAATGTCTCAGAGAAAAACTGAAAGATAGTTTTATCCAGTAGCTTTATTTTGCAAATTAGGTGACCATGAGTATTTACTTTTTACCAACACACTGTCCTGGTTCATCCTGGGGTGGTTTCTACTGACAAGCTGATGAAGCTTTTTTAGCAGAGAGAACAAATTCCTCATGAACTGCATTAAACAAGCCCTAGCTGAAGAAATTTGCAAGTAGTTGATCATTAGTTTTCAGTTATAATACAAAGATTATGTTGGACTAAGCTTTGCTGGACTGTCCCCAGGGTAACATGCCCGAGAGATCTTTTTTTAAACACATGAGGACCTTCATAAACTCCCATTGGAGGATGGTATAAATCAGTCTTGATATCTAACAGATTTCACTCCAGAGTGAAAAATGTTAGATTATATAAGTACACATAACTATACATGTGCCTCTAAGGTGTCATTAAATGCTTTTGCTCAGCAGGTAGACCATTTAAAATCCTGAAAACTTGAAATGGTAAGTAATCAAGTAAATAGGCACAGATTCTGAATACTCAGGTGGCTGTAGGCAGTTATCCTGTGGCTCAGAAGGCACATAAAGAGAAATGATTTCATTGTGGATCACATGCTATTGCTTGAAAACAGCCTTCGGTACATAGGTATTTTTCATATGGACAGCTTTGTGCATCAGCTGTTTTTGTTTTCATTTCAAGGCCATTTCAAAAGCTATTTATATATCTGGATTTTACCTTGTCATATAGAAAGTCAGTTTTATAGCCAGACCAAATAGAACTGGAGAATAAGATGAGAAATACATTTTTCTTGATATCTTAATTTCTTTTCCTACAAACTTATTTCTTCTGTGTAGTCAGAGAGTGGTTTCATTTGATCTGTATCTCATGCTAATAAAAATTTTTATTTTTTTCTAACTTTTAGGTGGAAATGCATTTCCAAAACCACCAGCTGGCTAGAACTTTACTGGACCTAAACATGAAAGTGCAGCAATTGAAAAAGGAGTATGAACTGGAAATTACATCAGACTCTCAAAGCCCAAAAGATGATGCTGTGAATCTGGAATAAAGAAATGCACACAAGAAGCTCTTGATCCTAAAACTAACACAACCCTGAAACAATTCTGATGAACACCTTATGCTTTGCATAAGTTTTGAGGGACAATTTATAGACCCAAAACTTAGATGTTTTTCTTTCACCTTCCCCTGTCATCTAAGAGAGGGGAGAGAAAAATGATGTATTCCAAGTTTTAAAGTTATTTGTTGTTTTGACTGGGACATAGAAGTAAAATATAACTCTCTCTCTCTCTAAGAATGCTTTAATGCCAACTTTCGGTATTCCACCTTGTGTCACCTGACCTTTCTGGCATTGCCTGAGCTTTCAGAGTTCGTGCTTGTTTTGCTTTACTTGATTATTCTCGGTTTGTCTGTCCAGTGGCCTGCCCTGCTTTTTGTGGATAATTATTTCTACTTGAATTCTAATCATGCCGTTTAGGTGGTCTGTGACTAAGGGTACTCCACCTTCCTGGATGTAGTCATGCAGCTCAAGGCAGGCTGATGGGTTTGTCCTTATGATTTTTTGAATGGGCACTAAAAGAGTAGATGAGTATTTCTGCCAGTAGAAGTTGTGGATCAGGGGCTTGGAAGCTGCTGGTGGTCACCATGTAAGAAAGTTCACACCCTAATGGAGGTGACTGAAATGAAACCACTAAAAGCACAAAAGGGGAGGGAGGGAGAGTGCTTCGCTTCCTTTTTCCTGGGGTCAAGTTGTATAAGACTCCAGGCCTTGCTCTTGTTTATATACATGAAACATTCTGATATCCTTTTCATAAAATCTCTTTTTGCCTAAGTAAATTTAAGCTGGAGTTTCATGACTTATATCTAGTGTTCACAACTAACACAGTTGTTCAGTTTTAGGAGTTAAAATGGTTCTTACCATTGAGTTGGACTAACTGTACCCAAAAAGTGCTGTCTTTTTAATGCAAACAATAAAGTTAATAAAAAATAGTTGCAGATCTAAGTGATATTTATAATGGTTATTGTCTGCAAAATACAAATTTATAACAAGCTATGTAATTTTAATATTTAATAAACTATAAAAATCAGTTCTTGAAGACAAAAGGAGAACAGAAGAGACACGGTTTTTCTCTTTTTAAAATAAATGCAAGAGCCAGCATGGTGGATCATGCTTGTAATTCCAGCAATTTGGGAGGCCGAGGTGGGCAGATTGCTTGAGCTCAGGAGTTCAACAATAGCCTGGCCAACATGGCAAAACCTCATCTCTACTAAAAATACAAAAATTAGCAGGGCGTGGTGATGCTCACCTGTAGTACCAGCTACTCAGGAGGCTGAGGCATAAGAATCCCTTGAACCTGGGAGGTGGGGGTTGCAGTGAGCTGAGATCATGCCCCTGCATTCCAGCCTGGGTGACAGAGGGAGACTTGGCCTCAAAAAAATAAAAATAAATAATAATAGTAATAAAAGAAACACAAGTTGTTTTATGTGAGGATCTGAGAATTATCTGGACTAAGTTTAGTTTGTCCTTAACCTTTTTTTCCCCACAATAAGTAAAGTATTCTAGCCCTTTGGTACTTAATTGCCCTCTATATAAATGAGGAATTCCCAAGTTCAGCATTGGCAAATGACCAGTCGCCAGCATCTTAGTATCTGACCATTGCGTTTCTTCAGACGTTTTGCATATGAACTCTTGGCCTATAAATATACGATTACTACATTAAATTTCATTTATAAACTAGATTTCCTATTTATTTCTTCCTTTGAATTTTATAGAAATTTTTAAGAAAGGGTTGGCACAGTTCCTTGTGATCTGTTTTTTGAAAAAGCTTCTACTTAACCTTTGGGACAATCATTCTCAACTGTGTTTTAAAGATGAACGTTTATAAATCGTTGTAATTTTGTGTTTGAAAAATACTCAAGGTGATTCATTATATGAGCTCAATTCCTTACAGAATACAGACTGCTGACATTGGTTAATATTAATGTCATTTGAGTATACTGATAATATATTGGGGATCAAAAAAAAGAAAATTTAAAAGTATGAAAATTGATGCATTGTTTTTCACATTTTTAGGTTAAAAAAGGTCCATTATTACACTGCAAAGTTTTGGTCACCACTTTTTCCCCACATCTTTCAGTGATGAACTTTGGATCACTGTATTTTTTTAGGGTGACATATACAGAAACAGAATGAGAAACTCCTTTGTGTCCCACGTGTCTTGTTTGATGGAAGTCTGAATCAGTGGAGGTAGCCTCTGATATTAACTGTGCCATGTGGAAACACAATGGGAGCTTGATACGTGGGACACTATCATTATTAAAAGTTTTTATTTTCTTTCCTCTCCAGTATGCTATCTCTTGCCTTTTGTTTTTAAAGTAGCAGAAGCCAGATGATTGGCTTTATATAGTTCTTTGCCATGGCGCTCAGCTGTTGGTTGTTAGCTTGCTGGCCTGGCATCCTGTCAGCTGGGACCCATGATAGAGCAGATAAACTTTTCTGAGGGCTGAGGCTGCCCTGCAATCTACACTTCTCCTCTTTCCAGGATTTCTAAATAAGCCAGAGCAACAGTGTGCCATTTTAAAGATCTATGAAATGGGAGCACCAAACCAGTGCCAGCTGGAGGGGAAAATGAGAAAATAATTATAACCTAAATTATGCATCGGGGAAGCAGTAGCTGGATAAACTGAAGAAAGTAAGATGTTCGTAACAATAGTGGGAGAGAGAGGGCCAAAAGAAGAGACACTAAAAACAGTTTTGTGAGGAAAATATTGTGCTTGAGTTTTTCAAATGACACAATTTCTCGCAGCTCTAATCATAGGGGGGATTAAACCACGTTAGCAGGAAATGGGCTTTCGCCATATGGTACTTGTTTAGCACCTACCAGTGAATAGGTGCCAAATTAATTATGACAATTAGAAGCTTTGCCTAGGTTGTTAGGCATCAAATTCCTTTACAGGTGGCCTGGATGAATCCGTGTTTTGTTTGGCTTGCCAAATGACTTCTGCTGTAACAGGTGCTTCTGCAACTCCCAGCCTGGGGACAGATCAGAGTCCTCTGTGGGTAACCCCATGATAGCTGAGTCTAAAGCAGTGTAATTATAAGAATCTCATCTCCCCTGCTCCCTTCCTGGCAGGCCCAGGGCCCCGGCACAACCATCAGCTCTATTTACTGCTGTAATCACTGCCAGAATCCCTCTGTGCCTCGCACCTGGCACGAGGCCCTCCAGTGCCAGCTGCCTTCTCTCTTGGTTGCTTTCATTGCTGCTTCTGCTGCCATTGCTGCAGCCTCTGTTTTCTTTTTGACCATGTCAGTAATGAAGGTTATGGTAGGGTGAGAAGTACAGTTAGGGTGACAGTTGCATCTGTGCCACCCTCCCTACCTCTCGTCTGGCAGCCTCTTGTTCCATCTGAGCTGAGTGCTGGGCAGTAGGACTTGGATGGATGGACACCTGTTACAGTAGCCTGTGTGAAGCACTGCTTCTCAGGGGGCTGTGTACCTCTTATCCGCCTCCTGATTCTGGCATTGAGGCATATTGGGGGTGAGAGGGCTTCACCTGTTCCTTAGAAGCAATAATGTCATAGTCTTTCTCTTCTGACACCAGTACAAGAGCGATCTGTTGAAATGTAATAATGATGAAACAAACAAAGGCATCAACCACCACTCCTGTACCAGTCATTGTGCCAAGAACTGTACATGTATCAGCTTATTTAATCCTCACAGTGACTGTAGGTGTGTAGGACCTGTTTTTGGAGCTATTTGAACTTGGTGCTTAGTCCTGGCTCTGCCACTTACCAACTATATGACCTAAAGCAAATTGCTTTAAATTCTTTAGGTCTCTCCAAGGAAGTCAGTGAAAATGGGACCTGTCTTACCTAAATCTTAAGGAACTCAAATCAGGTTTGGGAGAATGAGTTAATGGCGAAGGAACTTCTACATCACGTGTTTATTTCATATCTTTAGTTTCATATGATCTTACTACCTTTTTGGACTGATACCTTCCCTGCGCCCCTCTCTTCCTCATATCTTTATGTCTCGGTGATGCTCTGCCACCTGCTCGCTGTTATGTTGTTGTCTCGGAGTTCCCTCTGTGGATCGAAAAACTGATTTAGCAAACATGGGAATAGGCAGCAGGAAGATATAAAGTGAAGAGTCGCTGCTACTTGCCAACCCCTGAATCTGCCTGGCATGCAGCGCTATGTGTTTAAAATGTAATTGTCCCAACAAAACTGTGAGGTTGGAACTATTGCACTTCCCATTTTACAGAAGAAGAGAGTGAGTGTTGGAGAGGTGATGTAATTCATCACGATCCACTCAGCTAGCAAGTAGATGTCAAGATTCACATCTGATGTTGGGAGTGGTCTGGCTATTACTGGGCCCCTCCCAAACCAATGGGAGAGACCTTGCACTAGAGAATAAATTCAATATTATAATAGAAGAATGTATGAATTGCTAGGACGGATGCTTTTTGCAGGAGTCAGACAATGAAGGTCTCATTGAAGACATGCCTCCAAATTATTACTTGGTGTCTACCTGGAAAAAAGTCCTCACATCCTGGAGTCTAAACTAGTTGAGTGATGTTAGATAAATTTCTCCACCTCATTTAGCCTCATTTTTTCTCATTTGAAAATGAGATAGTGGAAATGCCCCTAAAACATTCCTCTTAGAGCCTCTATTTTATTATAATCCTGCCTGCTTGTAACTGGATCCTTCAACCACTTGCCCCTGACTTGCCGAGACTTTCTGATTCCCATTATAGCATGACGGACAGCTGACCATTTGTCCCTGGCCCCTGGCAATGAAGTAGACTCTCCTGGTCTCAAACCTTACCCTGATCACAGCGTGAGCTGATGCAGCCTTGATGATGACAGAAAGCAATTCTTGTCACTCTTGGATGCCCCTCTGCCCTTTTCACCCACACCATGACTGCAGCCAGGGGGAAATGTTACATTTGCACTTCTGAGGCAGACGAGCATCACTTAGAACTGTTAGGTGTTATTATTTTAGAGGCAGCCTGCTGTGGCAGACGCTGCTGGCTGAGAACCACGCCTTGTGTAGCCTCTGCGGCCGGATGGTGGAGTTGGAATCTTGGCTCCTTCACCTCCTCACTATGTTTCTTAACACTTCTACATTTCAGTTTGCTTATCTGTAAATAATGAATCATGCTTACCCCAAGAGTTTGTTATGAGGATCTAGTGGACTAATACATGTGAAGTGTTCAGAACACGCAAATAGTGGCTTATTATAACAGCCAATCCAGCAAGTGTTTTGCTCATCCTTCTTGCCTGTTGGAAGTGCTCAATTCCAAGACAGGGACAGAGATGACGGCTTCACTTTTCCCCGTCCCTCTTGCAGTTCAAGATGGCTTTAGAATCCAGTCGTGTCTAATAAAACATAAAGGGAAGTTTACTGGGGGGGTTCTGAAAAACATTTTTTTCCCCTTACATGAGGAGAAATAGAAGGTAAGCTGTCTTCCTCCCTACCTCTTTTTTTTCTTTCTTCCAGATATTTTCACATGCAATTGTAAAACTTGCCCATGCTGCAGCCACCCTGTGACCTATGTGGGAAATACAAGTGCACTTTGAAGATGAGAGGACAGAAAGATGAAAAGAAGCAGTGTCTTTGATCACATCACTGAGCTTCTGACCCAACCCAGCAACTGCCTACCTATGGCTAGTCTTGTTCTGCGGGACAGTAACAATAATAAAAATCCAATTGTTTGAGGCACTTTTATTGGGGTATTCATTTCCTTGCACCTGAAAGCACTCTGATAACTTAATCCCCCAAAACCTCCTGGGGTACAAAGGTTTGTGGTGGTGTCTCTCTGAAAGCAACTCTACATATCATCAGAAACTATGGGCACAGGACTCCAGAGACATTATTTGGTTACTTAAATGTTTCATACATGCCTTTGGCGAGGATGAATTCTATGCAACAGAGTATCAGTTAATGCATACTGAAGGAAGACCTGTTGGAGAAGAATCCTCTCCTGAACCCCGG